TAATTTCACGGGGTAATTTAAATGTTAACCCTTTCACTGCTACGAACGACTATAGTCGAGAGATACAATGTGATCTCTGCATACTACGAGCAGCTATAGTCACCTGACATTTTAAGATAGCAGAAATTTCAGGGATTATTTGAATCCTGTTGGCCAGTTTACTACAGTGATATTTCAATGACAATTTTACAATTTTACTTTTTCTTCCGTAATATTTCATAATTTGAAAAATATAAAATCTACACAGTAGATGTAACAATGATTTATCTACTACCTGTATCAGAACACCATCGAGAATTTTCCTCTTACCGATACAAGACTAAAAAGAACCATCATCGTCGTCGAGTTCGAACGTAAATTAATAATCGCTCGACCGATTTTGTTGCAGGTAGCAAGCACGTAGAATGGTAGCCGCACAACACGACGGTACCAGAAGTGTCGGCGGCGGTGACGGTGGAGGCGGCGGCGGTGGTGAGGAGACCGTGTACACGGTGACCGTGAGTGGTGTTGGTTACAGAAACGAGGGTTACAAGGACGACGGTACCGATGGTATACCTCCAGAGCCACAGAAACCACCGCAATTATCGTCGACAGACGACGACACCCAGTCCAGAAAATTCAAGTTGTCCCGTGGCGAGAAATGGCGAATTTTGAAGAACATCAGTACCGTATCCGTGGCGTTTATGGTGCAGTTCACCGCGTTCCAAGGCACGGCGAATCTGCAGTCGTCGATAAACGCCAGCGACGGTCTTGGTACCGTGTCCCTATCCGCGATTTACGCAGCATTGGTGCTCTCCTGCATCTTCGTGCCTACCTTTGTTATCAAGAGACTCACCGTGAAATGGACCTTATGTGTGTCGATGCTGTGCTATGCACCGTACATCGGCTCTCAGTTCTATCCGAAATTTTACACCCTGGTACCGGCCGGTGTTCTCCTCGGTCTTGGTGCCGCGCCCATGTGGGCGGCTAAGGCCACCTACCTCACGCAGGTCGGTGGTGTCTACGCGAAACTCACCGATCAACCCGTGGACGCCATCGTCGTTCGGTTCTTCGGCTTCTTCTTCCTTGCATGGCAGACCGCTGAACTGTGGGGAAACCTCATCTCTTCGTTGGGTAAGTTATGGCCTTGCTTATCTCTTTTTTTCTTTCCTTTGCATCAGTGGTAGATCTAACTTTGTGATGGTCTACGCCAGGGGTCGGCAAACTTTTTTTCTGCAGGGCCAGATACTAAATATTTTTTGGCTTTGTGGGCTAAGAGAGAAAATTGAGATTATTACGTATGTATGTATGTAGGTAGTTAACTACAAATAAAAATTTTTTGACAAATTCTTTATTTGTGATACACATTTATTAATGAGAAATATGGAATTCTTTCTTTTTGGATAATATTTCATTTAACTGTACATAACTCGCGGGCCAAAAAAACTGATGGCGGGCCGCAGTTTTCCGACCCCTGGTCTACGCTACTGTTCCAGAGTTTAGGATTAGGTTCTGTGAAGTATGAACTTTTTGTTGAACATCGAGAGGGGATAGAAAATTTTAATTCCCTGTTGCTGATAACATTGGTAGATATCGAACGAGTGTTATGATTAATGGTCTGCGGATGAAGATCAAGGTGTACCAGGATTTTTGTCCGAATTGTTTATGTCTTGTTCGGGATCATTTTGGACAAAAAACTGGCAGATAGCAGGTTTTGAAAATTAAATTTAACAATTTATATCCTTGTCAATGACCTGCTGTGTAATTCGCCCGATAAGATATCTGCGTTCCAGAAAAGTTGCAATATGAATATTAATAATACAGTAAATTAGGCTTGGCGTGAATATATCAGTTATCGCGTCATTAATCGAGGAATAAATATGCGGGAATTAGTTGGAAGTTTTAGAGCAGTTTTTGTTCGACGAGTTACAGGTATTTAGTTTCTAATTAGCGAAGTGAAATTAAGACGATCACTTCTGTGGAAGCCAATTATCAAGTTATCTAAAAATGGGATTACTCGTTAATGGTTAGTTGAATAGAACAGCCACGCTGAATTACGTTAGAATGCATAAACGTTACCGAAGTAACGTGCACATAAGGAAAACCAGTAGAAAGCATTCCTCTACACTCTACAGGCTAAATGCCTACCCACCAATACTATAAATCGGTTCTAATTAACCGTACCGTTACGTTAAACAGAGTCTTTCTCATTGAATACGCACGAACTTCATCCGGCTCAAAATTTCTTTCAGCCTCGTCCCATACAATAATTTCCCCATCTACCTCTACCTCTTTCACACGGCAAATTAAACCTCTCGAACACGAGCCCAAAAGTCGAAAGTAGCATTTGAAATGCAAATGTCGAGACCCATCTCAACTACCAAATCATCTCTGAAGAGCTGTTTTCATCGAAACGATTCGTAGATAAGTTGTTCAAGGTCGCGACGAATTGGTGTCAATATCACTCTACCCGCCATAAATTTGGCAATCATTCGATCCTCTCCTTTATTTCTTCCTGTGGAAGACCTACTTGTCCATGATTACGTATACTATCGGTCAAAAGTTTCGGGTAATTACGTGTTGCGAAGAGCCCGACAACTTTTCGGAAGAAAATTAGGAATTTTCTTTCACAACGTTAAAATATTACCAAGGAGACCAACGACTCAGGAATTAATTAAACAGCAGTAATATTTGTGAAAAGTATCAATACCAAATATATACTCCACAGAGCATTTTTCCATTATCAAGGAAAAAGCAGAGAAAATGCAAGCATAATTATTATCATCATTTCGTGAAAATATCAATAGAGTATTCGATATGGTTACTATCAGGGGCAAGTGATAAGGAACTTTTGGACACAAGTGTATGTTCCGTTAGCAGAGCCCATCGACGAGGTGTGAAAACGTTTGTGAGATCACGCCGCGCTGGTTCGTAAACATCGTGCAGTTGCGACACACACGGCGTGCGTAGCAGTAATAATGCGTGCGTGGTCAGACAGTCGGGCCAAACATTCGGTCCTTTCCCTGACTGACTGGCTGGCTGGCTGGTTGGCTGGCCGACGAGATCGACAACACAACTCTCGCGCCTATATACTACTAACGTTCTCCATGGACACACTCGGGTTTCGAACGGGTCTGACTGACAACGCCGACGAGAGACTCGACGAGAAAGACAGCGACGCTGGTGGAAAGGCGACGGAGAGCGCTTCGCACGCGGGAAGAAACAAGATTTATCCGGTATAAACCTGTAATAGTCGGTTTCCGTGCCACCTCGTACGCATTCCCCGATACCGGGCGGCGGTAACGCGGGTTTTAACCGTTTTCTACGATTCGAACCGTTCAATCGCGCGCGATCGCAGCTTCCTCCCGCCGGGCAACGGCACTTCCGTCGACATGGCGCCGCTTTGCACGCGCGCGACCACTCGCTCGTCACCGTGTAGAGATGCTTCGAGGCGAGCAAATGGCGGCCTCAGTTCGTTTTCTCGCTCTTCAACTGCCTATAGCCTGCGCGAAATTGATCGATCGCTCAAGGTCATCTCGCCCGGCACCATAGATAACTCTGTGGAAGATTTCTTTCTGTTATCTAATTTTTATAAAGTTTCCAACAATGAAACGGTAAAACTTGAATGCTAGCGTTTAATCGAAGAAAGGAATAGTTCCATTGTAGAATTTGTCATTTCTTTGGGATAAAGAAGGAACAGCGGATGGTGTATACACTTTTATTTAGAATGACTTTTAAATTTGTCAGGCGACTTTGTAGGAGATTTTTTCTCCTTTTCATCATTTTGACGTGTGTCTGGGTGCAAAGTAGTCGAGTAGGATATGGAGGGGGTGGCGTCTCGGCGGCCTTGAGCGGTCGACTGATTCCGAACGGACTATAGGCGCACCTTGCTAGAACCTGTTTTCACCGAGTTTCTTCCGACTCCTTTGAGATTGTTCAGAGAATTTGTGTAGCTGAAAATGGACTCGGGGATTATGGCTAGCTTAAACGATACGATAGGATAAAAGAAGCCTATTATCGAACCGATAACGTCACTCCACCCTTGAACAACAATCTTACGGCGGTTTATTCCAAGTCGATTACGAATGTTACGTTATCTGCTAACCCAATTAGCGTTACCAGCGGGCGGTGTAAACATTACACCGTGAGGAAACGCGTGTTTTTTTTTCGTTCCTTCGATGCAACAATACGCGCAAACCGTGATTATCAAAATGCGATAAACGCATCCATAAACAATGACTAAGCTCGCCGCATGGAGAAACAGAAAAAAAACGAGACAACGCAGCGGGTGTACGACTTCTTTTTGTTTTTCGCGAACACATATACACACACGTTCCTTAATTATGTTTAATTTATGTCTCGTACACGGGCCACGTTTAATCGAAAGTGCCGCTTGTTTTCCAATGCCGCGTGTACATTAACTGGATACCTTTAATGAAGACGTATACGAAGACTCGCATAGCTCGTTGCACATTTCTCGAATTACCGAGGAAATTAACCGAAACGCTTCAGCGGCGCTATATTTTTCAAACGGCACGGAACGACCGCTCGTTCTCGAGGATATATGTTCACGTGAAAATCTTCATGAACGCGCATAAATATCCCCCCGATTCCCCGCCGTCCGTTATACCCGGCTAAACCGAGGAAACTGCTAGAACAGTCTGGATGACGGTGGCTTTTTATTAAACGTCTCAGCCTCGTTGGTTGCAAGAAAATCGCGTTCCTACCATCACACACACACACACAGAGTTGAATATATTATAGGCCGATAAGTAGGACTTGCGGACAATTGGAAACGATGGTGGGAGACATTGTAAATCCTGTCGTTCGCCGTCCGATGACCGCGTATACGCAGATTGGCCAATGTGAATTCCAGAATGCCGATACGTTTCGCGCTGGTGTCGCATGATTGCTGTTTGGCACGACATTTGCATGTTTGAGAAACGAGATCGTCGAACGAAGAAGGACGAGGAAGGAGAGAATTTTTTTCTTCTTTTTTTCTTTTTCTTTGCTAGGTGAAATTCTGATTTTCGACGAACAAAAGAAGGAATCGTTAGGGTGGAATTTTTTAGTTATCTCAAGTAGACAGATTGATTTATCGCTGGTTTTCAGCATGCGAACGTTTGCTATGGATCATTCAGACACATTCCTCGCGTATCGACTTGTCTTCAATTTTTTGATTATTTCTGCTCCGTTAGAATACAAGTATGCGTATGTACATGTACGTCTTGTGAAATGTTTAAAATACCTATGATCGCGTGTACGTGTTGCGAATAGTTAATAGATTTTAATCAGATGCATAAATAGTTGCATAGGTATTGCTTGATTGTCCGCAAAGTTGTAGACGATCTTGATAAATTGTTGATAGTTTAATGTTTGTTCTTGATAGGATGCGTTTTGCCTGTAATTTTATTTCGCCACTGACGTTTTTTATGGTTTTATTGTATGTAAAATTTCACGTTCGTTATGTCGCGGTTTGTGACATGATACAAGAAATAAACGTTTAATCGTCCACTGCCTTGTTACGTGTCATTGACGAGGACATTGTGCAATGTTTTAGTCATTAGCTGTCTGATTGTCAATTAGACTATGGGTGAAATTTAAAAGAAGAACCCAGTTTTCGAACAGGTGAAATGAAGCAGAAAATAAGCAAAAATTTTCGATACACTTATACCATCCACTCTTCACTTCTATTCGATTTAAATTCAGTTCTGAACTCGTTCGCTGGCCTATAAATTTCGTCGACTCGCACAGAAGTTCGTACTTTTACGCAGACAATTCAATTAAACGCCAGCAAAGCAAGAATTACAATTAATTTACCGCTTCTCTGGACGCGAGAATAAAAAGCATGTTTTTACTTTTGCCAGAGAACCTGGCTGAGTAATATCCAGAAAGTAAACACTCGCCGTTTGTAATAAGAAAATTACGTTTCGCGAAAAATTCGGTCACCTGAGTAAAGAAAAGAAGAAAAAAAAAGAAGAAGAAGAACGATTAACAAATAATACCTACCTGGGCTATATTCGTTATCGAAATTTAGCTGAAATGTTATTTCTCAAGCGCAACATTTCTCGCTTCCAGCTACATTATATTAAACACCTGATAACCGAATTCGTTAATCAAAGCCGTTTGTTCTGTTTGAATTGCAAGTGCTCAGCGAGGGAGAGTTCGGCAGCGGTGGCGGGAACAGCACGACGAACTGGAACAAAATCAAGCTGTGCGGCGCCGACTTCTGCGTCCTTGGTAACGGAGGCCACGAAACCCTGGAGCGTCCCCCGGAGTCCGAGATCTACGAAATTTCTGCGATCTATCTCACTTGTGTAGTCATCGCTGTAATAATCGTCGCCCTGTTCGTCGATCCTCTTTCGAGGTGAGTTTCCAACGCAACGCACTTACTTACTTATATACACGTGCGCCGCTGATCTGTTCCGAGCTGAACAGCCCAGCCAGCCAGCCCGCAGCAGCAGCAGCAGCTTTCCACTTTCTGTCGACCTTTAATTTTTCATCTCAACTTCGAGGGACGATTAATAGTAGAATACAAATGTCGGCTGCCACCGGTAATAACCGTATTTATTGCATTATTCCCAACCGTCGTACACACCGTGACACGTCGTTGAGGACGCGGCAAAAGAAGACATTCCGCCAGGGACGATAATAACGTTGAAAAATTACTTTCTCATTATTTATCGTTGATAATTCAAAGTTAGATTACCTGCACACGGTACGGGTACCTGTTTATTACGCGGTATGTGTGTTTTTTCTAGGTAGGATCGCTATGATTACGGATTTATTGGACAGTTGAATTAACGTTGGAACATGTGCAAGTTTCTCGGCGAGGTTTGAAAAATTATTCGTCGATTATTTAGGAATTGATAACTCGAGGCTCGTTTGCTTGGTGTACGATACGTCTTATTCTATTTTTTTTTCTGTTTTTTTTGCTTTTTTTCTGGAAAATAGCGACAAGTGGGAATTTATCGGATGTTTTACGATTTCTTATAACGTCTTTGAAGAATTCATGTACTTTCCGATTGGTTACGTTGTACACTCTTGTTCATAAGTATTGGGACACCCGTTGTGTCTGTATAGAAAGTACCGTGTCATTTAAATTACATTTCTTCGACAAAGTTAGTATTATACGTTAGTGAAAATCTACGGGGTGTTCACGACGTTAATTTTCCAGCGTTTTTCTCGTAAGTGGTAGATTTGTGAGAGAAATAGAATAGGATAAAGTTTCAGTATTTTTTATACACAATACGAGAGTTTAAATAAATTTTGTAAATTTGCAATGGTTACCACGAACTATTTTTAAATTGATAGCTATTATTGTTTTTATATTATATGAAAGCAGTTGCCGAGACAAGTTCAACGACCTGCAACAAACTCATTTTCGTGTGAATGTTTGGTGGAGCATAATCAATGCCACATTGTCAGGACCTTATTTTTATGAAGGCACCTTCAATGGAAATAGAAATTTAGAAGTTTGATCGTATATACTTGTACAACAGAATCTTAATAATTTTGCTACGACTGTTTAGCTTCACATACAACAAGTGTCCTAATACTTATGAAAGAGAGTGTACTACTACGAACGTGGATAATATTTCATTATTCTATGACTATTCATTATTTTCCTTGTTTTCTTCAATAGTGTACTTAATGTCTTACTTTCTTTATTGATAAATTCATTTCGTTAGAATATTGTTCTTTCGAGTATTTTCAAGACGTGAAATTTGTATAAAATTTTAGGAACTCGCTACTTTTTCATTCTTAACTACACGCTGTACAACAAGATTCCAGACTGAATCATTTTTTTCAGAATTTTAATAATTTTACAGCGACTGTTTAGGTTAGCTTCACGTTCAATAAGTGTCCCAATACTCACGAATTATCTATAATTTATCAGTGTCTTTTACGCCGTTGAAAAATTGTTATAATTACGAATACGTTGTGCAATAGAATCAATGATGCATCGTATAGGTGGAGGTTATCACGGGGAATAATTACTTTCTACGCATTTGTGATTATCAATTAAACGGTTTAAAGAGTTGAAAATTTATTCTGCTTTTCAATTAGAAGTTTTACGGGATTCGCAATCCTAACAACACTGTCATCTTCAAACCATGACGCACATAGAGCCTAAGAAGCATGTGCAGGGCCAGTGACAAATTACACGTCGCGACTTATCACATCCTCTGTCGAAGGATTTCATTAAGCGTGCTGCTGCTCTATAGTCGAACTTGAACCGTAAGAAAAACGTAAAGACAGATCGTATTCGAGAGAGAAGAATACCCCATTGTGTGGCCATTTTCGATTTAACGTCAATATTTGATATCGATGAATCATAGGTAAATAGGCCTCGTGAAATCGTGTTTATCATTTTAACGCGGGTTAACCTTCTGTTTATTATTCGAAAAACACTTCTAAAAGCTTCTGTACGGCTGGCACATCTCGCGAATTACTTCAAGTTGAACAAATATCGACTCGGCTCTGAGATGTATGACTACTAATTAAGACAACCGGTGAAACTCCGTATTTTTCCATTTCCGACATTAGAAGTCATCATCCGTGTTTTCAGCTCGGTAACGCCATTATCAGGATCTTCGCTTTGCTCCGTACGGTTTTTTCTTTTCTGTCGTGCGGACGCGAGATAAAGTATCACGAGTATAGAAAACCTATTTTATTAGGTTACCTTAAATTTCGATTAAAGTATCAGAATTCTATTGGTGAAAGAATTATTTACCATTTTTAAATGGAGGATTATTTATCATTTGAGAAATAAAAATTGATTTTTATGATTATTTTCGTGTAAAGAAGAATTTTGAAGGAACGAGTTTGAGACTTTCAATGGCGCCGCTGTGACACCTTTGGTGTACAAAGGATTAACGCCTACGGAACAACGAAAATGAAAATAAGCACTCGTATATAAGAGATTAAGATGACAAATTCGATTAATCCGCTTAATTTACATGTTTATATTTTCACACCGCGAAAGACATGATCGATGAGAATCCAGAGACGTCGCACTTTCCGTTTACACTTCTGAAATATCGAGCACGTAGCGGGAACGCACGCGTGTCATACTTGCAAATTATAAGATAAGAGCGATTTTTAACGTCTCTGTTTATTCAGAATTTTGCGAATTTCGAAGCAACGGTGAGCCGCGTATTATCACGGAATAACAACGTTATTTCGATCGGATGCTAAAACATCCTAATTCCATTACGCTTCAACTCACTTCTGCTTGCCTTCGATTAATACGCCAGCTTTAAGTATCTCTAATTTGACGAACTGTTTCGTAGTTGAACGATTTTAATCTCACTAAAGGAAAAGATAAATCTAAGATCAATGCTATTGAACTTTCGTTATTTAACGAAAAAGCTCACACTTTGTGAGTCAATGGTTCGACGTTTCCTTGCCTTTCGGATAAGCATAATAAGAAGCGTGTAAACAAAGGGACAGAACACGATAATGTAGATCGTGCACGATGAATGACGTAGAGGAAACATTGACGCAACCATGTGAAATTGTTCAAAAACAGATTTTTATCGGTTTACCCTCGAAAATTGTGATATCTTCATCCGTTTAGAACGTGCCTTAATGCCGCAGACACCGGAGGTAAAAATTTATGTTTCCGCAATTAACTTTTAATATTTACACGTGTACACCTGGAGCCGTATGCAAATAGGCACAATGGCTGACAATGATGAATTTCGTGCACGTTGATCCGCATATTTGCAAACCTTTCGATAAATCTGCGGATAAATATTTTTTTTCTCCGCGACAACTAAAGGTCTACCTACGTAATTTCACCAACGTCATATGCATTCGATCAATAATGACATTGAGCTGTAATTATTAATTTATGTTCAGCCTTGAATGAAATTAAACGTTCCATTTCACTCGTTCAATGTACTACGCTCGATTGGAATGAGAAAAGCAGCGTCCTGTAATTTTCTCGATTCTTGCAAACTGACGCGAAATACGTCATAACGTTTGCATCTTAACCCTTTCGTCGCGGCAGGTTTTAGTATGTGACGGTAGACGTTCAATCACGGCCGTAAAATCTTTTGTTTGGGCGTTTTTAAATTTAAAAGATTTTAATTTAAAAATTTATCGTTTTATTAAATTAAGGTGGAAGCGCGCAAAGGGCAAAAATTAAGGGTTAAATTTTGGTGAAAATGTGCCAAAAGTCGCCAAGGTCACGGTGAGAGAATATCTGCAAAGCATCTACAGGCGCTAACAGAGGTAAAAGGGTTAATAGCCAAAATTATAGAATATAGAAAAAACCTTTTAAAAAAGACGTCGATATTTGCGTCTTTCTACTAACACAGAACTTCCACTTTTACCCTAAAACCTGTTGAAAACGTGAAATAATTAGAATTTCTGTGAGATATCGATGTTACACTTGTGATGACTTTACAATGATTAGTGAATCATCCTGTATGTATACAACGGCGTTATACAATAAAGTGACGGTAACGAAATGTATTTTATCTATATCGTTATGCAAATATTACGGAAATTTTCGGTAGATAAGACGCGGGAACGTTAAACATTTCTGCTCATTAGCGGGAAACGGATTATCGTATGGTTAAAGCGTCACTGCGGTACGCGCGTTGCCTGTAAAACTCGAAAGACCAACGAGAATATCGTAAATGACAAAACGGTCCCGGGAGTCATTGTCAAGAAAGTCGTTAAAGAAACGTAACGTCACCAATTGGTTTCTAGTTGGGATGTAGGTTAACGAAGTTGCTACGCTAGAAGTCAATGTCAAAACCGTTTCACTTGCACGGATTCGCGTGGAAGCAAAAAACGCACGACGGTGTAAAAAAAAAAAAAACTCTAACCGCCTAGCTGATTAATATAAAATCACTCTTCCGTGACGTGGGGAGGGTTACAACAAACGGTTGTAATAAAAGAGAAAAAGAGCTCGAAAAATATTCATGTTTCGGAGAAATCAATTTGCCTGGATCCGATGGCTGAGAACACTATATCCGCCAACGAAGGAAGAGCAAAAAAGTTTCGTATTTCAATCGGATGGACGATGGAAGCGCGATGATCCGGCCGGGAACTCCCCTGGAAGCTTGCCTACGGTCAAATAAATTATACATATCCTCTGGACGGGCAGGTGTCAACGAAACAGTACTTCACCGCTTCGAGATACACGCCTCTTCGTTAACGTTCGAGGTTTTCGTTTGTTTTTCTTCTTTTTGCTTTATTTGTAGGAATTTCAATTTCTCCCGCCCCCCCCCTTCCGTCCATATTTAAATCACGTAGTTTAAATTCATACGTAACACGTCGAGAAGTTTTTTCCCGTTCGTACCTTTCTCAACGTAACTCCACGTCAATCGAGGATCGATCGAAATTCTC